GACATTTCCCTAGTGCCTGATTTCTTTGTAAACCTAAAATGTCTCCCTGTATTATGGTATCTCTTATCTTGCTCTCCTCTCTTCTTTTCCCTTTTTTATACTCAATTTCCTAACTAGGTTTTCTATTTCCTAGCTATATTACAAATGTGTGACTTTTGGACACTAAGAATAAAACATTGCAGGGCATGGTGGTGCATACCTTTAGTCCCAGCACTCAGAAAGCAGAGGCAGATGGATCTCTGAGTTTGAGGCCAGCCTGGTCTACATAGCAAGTTCCAGAAAATAGTCAAAGCTGTATAGCAAGACCCTATCTCAATAACAAAACCCCAAAACAATTACTGAATTTACAGATCTTCTTTTAAGAAAGATGCTTTTCTATACAACTGACATGGGAGATACAGAACTAAGCAAATTACTTCCCATGGCAAGCCTCTCCATTGCACTTGGGATTTGCTGTGTGCCTGTATTTTCCCCAAGTGGGGGAAACTCCACTGCATAATTTGTGACAGGTGATGGACTGTGTATGAGCTTATCCCTGAACTAAAAATTAAAATGGAAAGAAGAGAAATAGTTTTCTTAAGAAACATTGTCATTTTAAAAGTTTAGGTCATGAGTTAATTCTGCAACATTCCAAAATTGAGGTACTGTGCTATTTAAAATCCTATGAAAACATAATAAGAATGACTTCAATATTTCCATAGGCAAGACTGAAGCTCTTTCCCCATCACATAGGGGAGCTGCACATTCTGGGAGTTGTGTATAATCTTGGCACTATTCAGGGCTCCGTGACAGTAGATGGCATTGGTGCTCTTCCTGGATGTCACACAGGTAAAGCTATAGCATTGATAAGCAGTTAGAAAAGTAGCTCTCAAACCATTCCATAGAACACAATGAATGAATGGAGATTTCTTGTAAATAGGTCTAATGTTCCTTCCAATCATATCCAGCCTTTTGACATTACTAATCTTGTCATCTACAAAGTTCCTGTTTGAGAACTGCAAATTACAAAAAATTATTGTCAAGAAAAATCTCTATTTTAAATATGTTGGGCTATAAAATGACATGTATAAGCATATGTAATTTAGATTATTCTAACTTCTGGCATAGGTTCAAAGCTAAGGGTTTTTATTCCCTTGATAATATTTTTGTTACTGATCCCAATTTAGTAAATCTAACTAAATAAATTTTATTTGTTGAAATGTCTGCTGCTAATACAAAACCACCTTAGTATGTTTTGTTTTTAATATTTCCTTTCTATAAAACAATACACCAAAGCCACTGTTTCCTCTGTCTTTAGATAATATTCAAAGCCACCTGTGGCAGTACATGCCAATAATCCCAGCTTCTTTTGAGGCTAAGACAGGAGAATTGCAAAAATAGCCTGAGCAGTTTAGCTAGACAGTTTCAAAATAAAAGTAATAAAACTTGGGCTATTAGTGTAGCTCCCTGGTAATGCATCTGCCTAGCCTGGGGTTCTAGGTTCAGTCTTAAATACTGACAAAGAACAAAACAACAGGAAAAAATACTTGAAATATTGTTATCTATACCCAAAAGGAGCAGAGTTAGTTTGAAGCTGTTATTTTTGATGCCCTAATTAGTATTCTCTGCAGACTTTGAAAACTCAAGTACATGTACTTCACATGGCTTGGTATGTTCTGTTTGTTTGGTTTTTAAATAATTTGGAGAACTCTACAAGATTCTAATGTTACTTTATAATTAATGTAAGTTGGTTGAATTTAGGTTGAAAAGATGCTAAGAAGGGAGTTTGTAATAAACTGCTATAGTTCCAGCACTTTATATTAGTAGATGTATCTTCTAGCAAATTAAAATTGACTGACATTCATGTGTTGGGTATGAATTTAACATTCATAAACACTGTTTATTAACAGTGGTGGGAGTCTCCTGGAATGCTTGCTGACCTTTGCCTTTGTAGTTTACATTTCTTCTTGGACATAAGGGAAACTCAAATAGAAAGGATGAATTAGCAGGAACAAAAAGCAACAAACACAAATACATGAAAGTTGTGTATTGTCTTCTGAGTTTTAGTACTGTATTTCTGCTTCCTGTTTGATGAGGCAGGTAATTTGTAAGTAGTCTTACTAATGCATTATGTTTTTAAAGCAGTATGAGTGAGGATTGAGATTATTTTTAACTTTGCTTTCTCACTGGTACTTAACTCTTAATATAGTTATGATTATGATAGTCCATTAAATATAGCTAACAGGGTACTAAAACAAGATACATTGTTTTAGTGTGTGACATTGACTGAATTAAAATTAAAATAAGCCCTACCTTATAAACAGGGTTTTCATGACATTTTAGTGTAGATACTTTTCATACTGAATGTTCATAGATCTGGGTTTAATAATTTGTGGAAACACTACATTATATATCTAATCTGGAACAATCACAGTGACCAAAGGCCCTGGATCGCTTTCAGGAAAGATGGAGTTATACACCCACCCTAGCTCTTTCACACATGTACCTGTTTTACTTGGGTGAAACCTCACATACATATTGAAAAAGTTAAAAGAAAACTATCTGTATTATAATTTTTATTGTTCTCCTTTTAGAGAAGATATAGTTATACATCTTCAAAATAGTGCAATATTTGGTATGAGTAAAAGTAAGAAACTGACCTGTTTTATGTTTTACTTTAATGTTTTTTCATGGTTCACATAACACTGGGTCCTTTGGTGAATAAGGATACTAGTTTTTAAAGACTTCAGTTTAATGATGAGTAGTCTTTATGTAACATAAGCAAATCCAAAAAAAGAGAGATATTGAATAGCATACAATAGATGATATTAAACAATTAAACATGGAATTAAAGTATACTTACTGTTGTCATTACATGTTTTATTCAGCAATTACCTGGAATTTTTCAAGCATTTATGGAAATTTATAGTATTCATATGTTCAGGTTAAGTTAAATCATCAAACCTACCATACTATTTTAAGGTATTGATTTTTTTAATTTCAGGGAAACATTCTCTGAGTATGTCAGTCCGAGGGAGACAGGATTTAGAAATTCAAGGCCCTCGACTTAACAACACGAAGGAAGAGAAGACGTCTGTCAAGTACGGTCCTGACCGACGTTTAGACCCTGTAGTCACTGAAGAGATGCCACTGCTGGAGGTATCTCACTTCTTCCCATCACATCATGGCTGCAATGATTTGCCAGAGCCAGATGATTTTTCAGAGAAATTAATTTTAGGTTGAGGTTGTTGATAGTCCATTGATCTGTATTTTTCATTATTGTTTTGTTTGTTTTAAGAAAGGTCTGTCTATGTAGTCCTGGATGGTCTTGAACTCAACAGAGATCTGCTTCCTGAGTGCTGGAATTTGAACTGTACTTTTAAACTATTGTTAAGCTTGCTAAATAGTTCTCATTGACAGAGGTCAGGCTGTGTGCAAATTAGCATTCTACCATAGCCACGCTGTAAGATGTAATCCTGAAATACTAATAAAAACTGGGGGAATATATGTAACTCAGCATTTTGGTTATTGAACTCAATGCCCCTTTTGCAGTTCACAAAAGTAATACATGAGTGAATGCTCATAGACAGTCTAAGCAGTATACAAGTACGTGGGGATGAATGTAAATGGAAAGTAACCCAGACTCAGACAGACAACATGACCTATAAAGTCTGTATGTGTGTGTACATATGAGTGGAGATGAGTGAGACTATAGGCTGTGCCACTAGTAAGGAGACTATGAGAGAAAGGTGTTGAAAAAGAAGGGAAAAGCAGTAGGATGTGACATGTTAACAGAAAGACTGTGTTGGGACATGGAAGAGTACAAGAGGTGGCCAGGGGTATGGGGGAGAAGATGAATCAAGGAAAGGTTTGCTCATAAGTACCATAATGAAATCTAAAACTGTATGTGTTAGTTTCTAGTTTCCCTGGCAGGGAAGTTAGTATGTATGATCACCTTTCTCCAAAAGGTGCTTGCAATGTGATCCCAAAATGGTATCTATGTTTTTAGATCTTGTGATCTTAAACATTGTATTGGTAATTATAAATAGCATCATGTCAAATGGTTGGGTGGTGGTAGTGTTGTGTATTAAAATGAAACCATTGTTGCGCTGCATGTGTTCTGCTCAGATCTAATAAATTTAAAGGTCAAGGGGCAAAATGGAAGGAAGGAAGGGAGGGAGGGAGGAAGGGAGGAAGGAAGGAAGGAAGGAAGGAAGGAAGGAAGGAAGGAAGGAAGGAAGGAAGGATAGATTAAGGCCCAAGTGCTATTTTCTTGTTGATAAATGTTTTATGCATTTTTTAAGATTTATTTAGTTTTATGTGCATTGGTGTTTTGCCTTACATGTATGTCTGTGTGAGGATGCCACATCCCCTAGAACTGGAATTACAAACACTTGTGACCTGCTATGTATGTGGGTGCTGGGAATTGAACCCAGGTCCTTTGGAAGCCATCTCTCCAGCCCCTTTTATGCATATTTTAACTTTATTTGGTATCTTTATCCATGCTGAGGAATTTTACTAATCTAAAGTCATATTTAGGTTTTTATTTGTTGTTTCTTTGTTCTATACTGACTCTTTTAGTCAAAACTTTTCAGTTAAATTTTATTGATTGATTGTGATGCTGGGTTCAAACCCAGGGCCTCACATGTGCTAGATACACATTCTGCCATTGAACCATCTGTATCTTATTTGCTAATGTCTGTATGCTTTAAACATTTTATTCTTTCCGTTTATTTTTGGTTTTCTTCACATTCTTTATTTTGCATGAGTGTATGGATGCATATACTAAAGTATGCTTGTGAGTTCATTGGACAGTTGTTTTTGTCCTGCCATGTGAGTTTGAGGATAGAACTCCAGCATTGGTGGTGCATAGCTGTAGGTAAGATTAGCACCTAGAAATGAATTGAGATGGATTGAGTTTAAATGTCAACCTAAGTATTCTGCCTTTTATAGTTTAAAGTCAGATGTTTGTCTAGAATTCTATAGGTAACAGTTTATGAGGGCTTACTTTCAGAAGCAGATATTCTGATCACTATAGTAAGTTTTCAAAATAAATTAGTAGAGGTCACCAAAACACACTTAATTGTACTAGTTTGCAGTTTTTGTTAAACCATATAATTGAAATGTTCCTTAGTTATTAAAGCTGTTAAAAGTATAACCAGCTTGAGGTGGGGGTGGGGTGGAGCATGCCTTTAATTCCAGCACTCGGGAGGCAGAGACAGGCAGATCTCTGAGTTTGAGGCCAGCCTGGTCTACAGAGTGAGTTCCGGGACAGCTAGGGCTACATAGAGAAACCCTGTTTGGAAAAAACAAAGGGCAGAAAAAATAGAACTTTTTTGTTTTTCTTTAACTTAATTTTACTTTTTTGAGAACTTCATACATGAGCTATGCATCTACATCACTCTCACTCCCCCTAACTACTCTCCTTGTATGTCCTCCCTTCCAAATCTGTGATCTCTTTAATTATTATTGGTGTGTGCAACATTTCTGAGTGCATTCAGTTTTGGACATATGTATATGTGTCCAGGGCTAACTGCTTGGGACTCGTCAACCTATGTG